GTCGGGGGCTCCGGCTGCAGCGGCTCCCGCGGATGTTGAACCGTTTCCGCCCGGCTCCAGTAACTCCCGATTCTGTCCCAAAGACTTGGCCCTCTTGTCCCCTGGAGCTGGTATCACCTTACCTCTCCTTCTTGTCCCCCCCAACCCCCACCCCAGAACGTAAAGTCTGGGAGAGGAGCTTACAGAGAACCTTGAGAGACCCGTCCCCAATGCTGAGATAGTGGACGTTGGTGCCATCGGGTAACGTGGCCTGCGACTTACCTGGACCCAGCACCCCGCCCCTCTCAACTACCCCCACCCCTCTTTTCCTCCCTTGCAATAAAAAGTTCTGCAGTGGCTGAGCTGTCTGGCTATTTGAATTTGGATTTCAGGCCGTTCCTACAGCACAGACCAAGGTGGTCCGTTGGGGGGCAATACCAGGAAGCAACCCCCACTAGTGGTGTGTGGGTCCACGCGACTTAAGTTTTGAGTGACTTGTTATTGTAGATGGGGAGGGTACGTTAGCCTGGGCTGACATTCATCCATCCTCTCCTTCACTCTTCAAAGATTTGTTTAATGGCCTCTTAGGGTCCTATCTGGTACATGGCCCTGGGGATGTGACAGTGAGAAAGACACTCTCTGGAGATGACTTCCTGCATGGAGAGGCAGGCGTAAGCAAGGGAACAGACCAAAAAGAGGAGGGAGAGGGAGGGCTGGGAGGAGGGTTCATCTTTTATCCTGACAGGCACTTGAGGCTAGGCTCTGAAGAAAGATGGCCCTCACATGTATTTTGTGGGGTGGGGGTGGGGGATGAACACAGCTGAGCAGCCCAGGCCTGGGTTCTGGTTTAGCATTTGACTTGATGGTAGAGAGTGGACAGCAGACCAGGATGGAGAGAAGAATGGGTGCCTCTACTTCCAGATCTATGGGGTAGTTTGGTCCACATTTTCACAAGATGACTGGACTTTGGGACAGAAGGTAAGAGAGTTCAGGTGGTGTGGCCAGAGCAAGCCTTGCTTTCTGCACTTTTATTTGTCACACAGGCAGGAAAGCAGCTTTTCACATTCTTTCTGTTGCACAAGGATTACATCATGAACACATCTTGAGAACAACAGTTCCTGCCTTCCATGTCCCTGGGTGGGGCTAACCTGTGTCATTAGCCAGAAGCCCTGGCTTTACCTTTTAAGGTACTCTAGTGCCAGAGTGTCTGTTGTGTTATCCTGCTCCCCTGCCTGGAGAACAGGTATCTGATAGGCCCCCTTCCTGGGTAAACAGAACAGTCTCATGCAAAAGGAATGGGACTGAAACTTGGCTGGCAGGATGCCATCCTTCTGAGTGGTAGAGTACATGGTCCCACCGCGCTGCTGTGAGCCCCACTTGATCAACACTGGCCATTTGTACCAAGAGTACAAACGTTCATACCTACATTTCCAGGCAGAGAAACTGCCCAAAAACAGAGCTGCCCCCTTCCAGGTTTCAGAGTCCAGCTCTGTGTTCACTTGCATTTTTGCCAGGAGGTGATGAAATTCTATGGTTTTCAAGCCCAGTTTTCCCAGCTCCTGCTATGAGGAGCACGTCAGCGAGGGAACTTTGTGGGAAGTGCAGACAGAAATATCACAGGGACTCAGGCAGAACTTACAGCATGCATCTTACAACCTGCCTCACAGAGGTCTGGCTGTCCACATTTTCCCTTTCCTAGTCTCAAGTCTGGGCTTGCCTGGTGTCAGTCCAGGAGCTCCCAACGGCTCCCAAGGGCTTTGGGTCAGGTTGGAGTCTCTTTCTGGGACAGTACCACGTGGGTCACTGGCAATATTTGTGGTTTGGGGACCCATTCTTTGAGAGGTTCTCCGGGCCATGGACCACATTCCAGCCCGGGGTGGGAAGAGAAGCGCCTGGTGCATTTACAGGGAGTCATTTACAAGCCCATTTACACACTCTGTGATCAGTTCAAGTGACTTCTGAAGGGAGGAGGAGTGTCACCAGTTCAGTCATTGCTTCTCATCACAAGAGAAACACCCATAGGGGTCAGCCTTCTGTTGGCTCCAGGGGCCTGTCATGTGTGTGCCTCATAGCACTCACACACGTCAGATGCTGACTCAACTGCGTTCATATCTCTATTTGAGCCTTCCTAGGACAGCTAATCACTGTCTCATTCATCTTTCTCCAGAGCCTGCCATAGAACAGATGTAAATGGGTTGATGGCCCAGGTTTCTGTGCCCTGTCCTGGAATATATTGATCCTTTTTTCTTTCTTCTTCTTTTTTTTTTTTTTGAGTCTTTTTTTACCCATAAGGTGAGTCATATGAGTCTCACTTTACAAAATTCCTTGGAAGTTTATTATTTATTTATTTATTTATTTGTTTAGTGTACCACTGAGGGTCAAACAGGGAGCCTTGCACACGTGAAGCACACTATGACTGAGCTACATCCTAGCCCTTTGAAGTGTTTTCAATACCTTTAAAGGTGGCTATACAAAGTCTAAGGTCACGTAGCAGCCCTCTGGTCCAGTTGGAGCTAGAGTGACAGCAGACAGGAGAAACAGGTAGGCAAACCCAAAGGTTAGAGCAACAAGGACTCCCTAGCCACATGGCTCCTCCCCGGCATGACATCCAGTAGCACCTGCCCATGACCACTCCCCCCGTAGCCCCAGACTTTACTGTATTACTAGCACACATGGGTCAACTCATGTACCCACACTGCACTCACACCCGCATGTACCCATAAGTCTCTGCTCCTCTGCACATATGCACATGCATACACACATCACATATATCATCACACATACAGAAACACACAGTCATGGTGGGTGCATACTTGCACACAGCTGCCTAGAGATGTGTGCATACCTGGCTGGATGCAATCAAACTGCTCCATTTGTACCGGGAGCTATGCAGAATGAGTTGCTGCACAGGGCCTGCTTTTCCCATTTCCCTCCAGCTCCAAATCCTGTCCTGCTCTCCTAAAGAAAATAGAGCTTTCAGCAGCCATCTGGTTCTTATTAGTGAATATGCTGAGGTCCAGAAGTGGCTTGCTGATGTCACATGGTGAGGTGCTCTGCACAGGGGCACTGTTTGATTCATTTGCTCCTTGCTGCTTCTGAGGACTGAGCCTGTTCAGAGAGGGAAGCTTGAGGGAGATCAGCATTGCAGATCCAGAGCAGGAAGGGAGAGGGTCAGGCTTGGGGAAGGTGAGAGAGTGACAGTACGGCAGGTCATCAGCCATGGAGGGGTCAGTTGGCAGAGAAGGAAATCTGGCAGGACAGGAGCTATTGCTGACTCTTGCACAGGGGAGGATAGATGGGTAGGGCTGGGGATTTGGGCTCAGGACTGGACTCCTGATACAGATCCTGCTATTGAGCTTTGTGGGGTCACAGTGCAGAGAGCTGAAAGGAACCACACCCTCTGTGTTCTCCAGAACTCTGTTTTGACAAGACTCTCATCTGGTCTCTCAGTGTTTGTTTTTTTTTTTTCTTCCTGAGGGGTGGTCTGTTTGTGTGTGTGTGTGTGTGTGTGTGTGTGTGTGTGTGTTCCATATCTGCTACATTTTCTGGGCCTGGATTGGAAGTTTAGAGATTCACCCTGCTATAAAGATCTAAGTTCAGGGAGTCACCTTGGCTCACAGTGCAGCTGAGCTGCCCCCACCCCACTTTTAAGATCTTCATCTGTGTCCTATGAACACTTCCTCTTATGAAGGTGTCAATGGCCCTGCGGACGTGGACATCTCTGCGCTTGCGATCTCTGATCAGGGACATGAGAGCAGTAAGAGGCTGGTCATGGCCCTGACCTCTGCAGACATTCTACTTTACTTTCTGCAAAAGAATAATGAACACTAGTGCTAAACTCAGATGACGCAGGCCCTGCTTAATTATCTCACATTTGTGAAATTTGTGAAATTGCTTAACCCTCCCATTGACTCTGAGGTAGGGCTCCTTCCATCATCTTCATTTCAGTGATGTGGCAGCAACACAGAGAGGGCAAAAACACTGTCCAAGTTCACTCAGCAAGGAGGAGGCAGAGCAGCCTGGCTCTGGAGTCTGTGCTCATCCCTCAGCCACATGATCGTCTTGCTATGTCCTGTTTTCTGTTTTTGACACTATGTGTTAGCCATGGCAGGTCTCCAAACCTGAAAGGGACTCCATTAAAAAAAGAAAGCCATGCCAAAGTCTTTTCAAAACTTTACATAATATTTGTGTATTCATCCCTTAAAGAGTTCCAGTAAATTACTCAGTTGTGAGTCTTCCCCAGCACAGCCATGAGTGATGTTTCCTTAATCGTCCAGTGACTGGGGACTTTCATACTTGTCATCCATCAGTTTAAAAATGCAAATGCCCTTTTTTCCTGGAAGGTGGTGGTAGCCCAGTGAAAAGAGCATGAGAGATGTACATGGGGTTCGAACTGCAACTGAATCCCTGAACAAAGTGACAGGCCCTGCCCCAGTCACTATGGGACTCTGCCTACTGGATTCTTCATCTGCAAGATGTTCAGGTGGTGTGGATAAAATTCCATCATGTGGGGGCCTAACACAAGCCTTTGCTGAGACTGGTGTGAGCCAAGGGACAGAGAACGGTCCTGGAGGCCCCAGGCCTGAGCCTTTCTCTGCTCCCTGTGACTTTAGAGACCCTCTCAAATTCCAACCCTTCAGGAGGTTCACAGAGATGCAGCAGACAAGGCCCAGGGTTGGCTACATTGATTTATTGGAAACACAAAGCAAGACAGAGATTAGAGGGCAGAGGAGGAAGGGGAGAGGCTGAGAGCTCTAGCTTCATGGTAGCCCAGGGTATGGTCCCATCTTGGTCCTCCTTACCCTTGAGCCCCTTTCTTGTGACTCTAACAGGACTTCTGTGGAAGCCCATCACAGTGCAGGTGATAGAGCCTCGAAGCAGGGGTCACACAGAGAAACCAAAGGGGCTGGGAGTGGGAGGGACCCTTCGAAGTGCAGAAGTAGCTGAGCACTTGCTCCAGGTCCCAGAGCTAGGTGTCCAGGAGAGATGCTGAGCTGAGGCTACGGTGCAAGCAGAGATGCCTAACATTTCCGGCAGCTGCTGGCATAGGACCCCACACCAAAGGAGCTGACTCCACAGGTTCCCACACCACAGGATGCTGCAGAACCACAGGGCGCGCACAGGCCGGTGCTCACTGCCAGGTTCCCGCTGCATGGGGCGCTGCAGACACTGCCAGTCACAGGCCTAGAGCCTGACATGCAAAGGTCCCCGGATACGACCCCGCCTCGGGAGCTGCTGACACCTGTCGACCCAGAAGGCTGAGTCAGAATTGGGGCCAGGGGCAAGCTGTCCAGATTCCTTAAATGGCCCTGAGCTCTGGGGATTAAAAGCCAAAGCATCTTCAGTGGAAGATTCCTGGTCCATTTAAGATCCAAGTGGTGGTTCTTCTTGCTATCAGACTCCAAATTCCCCTTCTACTGTGCCACCAACCTGCCCTTTTACAGTTAGCTCTCTGAAGACCCTCCATCACAATCTGTCCTCCCCCCAGACAGGGAGTAAAACATGTTCTGCCCCAAATACTCACAGACATTCACAGCCCCAACGCCTTCACACAGTCTGGAGCAGAAAGGAAAAGAAAATTAGTGATTGAGATAGAGGGGGAAAAAGGAGCTCGCCAAAATCTTGGGGTAGAGTCCAAAATTGTCAAGGAATTAAAACTAGCTATGTGAAAGGACTCTCTTTCTGATATAAACCACAGCCCCTCAAAGTAACAAATGATAGATTTCAACCCCAGAGCCCAGCCATTGTTCTGCCAACAACAAAGGTGGACTTTATGCAGGAGACAGAGACAACTGGATCTGTGCCACACTGGGTTGGGACTTACCTGTGCTCCTCGCCCTCCAGCAGGCGCCTGTAGGTGGCGATCTCGATGTCCAGGCCCAGTTTGGAGTTCATCACCTCCTGGTACTCCTTCAGCAGGCAGGCCATGTCCTGCTTGGCCTTCTGCAGGGCCTCCTCCAGGCTAGCCAGCTTGCAGCGGGCATCAGTGAGGGCTGCCTCGCCCTGCTGCTCTGACTGGGTCACCGCGGCCTCCAGCTTGGTGTTCTGGGGGTACAGAAGAGAATGAGGTAGGCTATGACTGGGTCTCTCTGTCCTTTCCCTGGATGTGCCCAAGCTATACCACCAGCTGGGAACAGTCCAGAAACAGGCCTCTTGCCCTGTTCATATGGGGCATCCTGATTGACCACAACCAGGGACTACAGCCATGCACAGGACTGGAATCTGAATGGTGAGATCCAACTAGGGCCCAAGCTGGTTGTGGGACACTGACTAGGCCCCTAGCCCCTCTGGCCTTGGGCACAGCTGCCCCATACCTGGCACTTGGCGTTCTCCACCTCGGCCGTCAGCCTCTGGATGATGCGGTTCAGCTCGTTGATCTCCTCCCTGGTGCGGCGCAGGGTCTCTCCATGCCGGATCACTGTGGCCTTTATCTCCTCACACTGGGGGGAGGCAGAGATGCCATGAGCCTCAGCCTGGGATGTCCCACCACTCAGGACACCGTGGTTGACGGATCGTACAGTACAGTGCTCAGCCTGTGCAATCACACGAGGCAGCTCTGCCCTGCCACCCCAACCTGAGAGCTGCTGGCTCTTGTCTTACCATCCTTAGGGATCAGTATCCACAGGAAAAAAGAAGCCTTCTCCAATGGACACCTCACATCCCTGCACTGCCGTGTCTCACCTTGGTGCGGTACCAGGACTCAGCCTCTGCCCGGCTGCGGCTGGCGATATCATCATACTGAGCCTTGATCTCAGCGACAATGCAGTCCATGTTCAGGTCCCGGTTGTTGTCCATCTTGACGATCACCGAGGTGTCTGAGATGTGGGCATGGAGAACGCGGATCTCCTGCAGAAGGAGACATAGGGGTGTCACAAGCTTATTGAGACCACAGTCCCACCTAACATGTGGACCACTTTCTTAGTCCTCCCCTGGTCCCAGTTCCTGCCCCTTCACACAGTCCCCCAGCTAGAGACGGTACACAAATCTCTGCCCAACAGGCCAACCTCTACACCAAACCACTGCCTTCTGTGCTGGCTGCCTGCCTGCTGCCTGGCCACGTTCCTCACCTCTTCATACAATCGCCGCAGGAAGTCGATCTCCTGGGTCAGCGCCTCTGAGTTGGCCTCCAGGTCAGACTTGCGCAGGTAGGCACAGTCCACGTCCTGGGAAGGAGGGGAGGGTATGAGCCCAAGGAACCCTACTGTAACGCTCCCCAACTCCTCTCTTCTCACCCACACTATGCATCCTGGCGGAGAAGGATCCCTGAGCTCCTGATCCCAAGTATTTCTTTCCCCTTGACCATCTCTGGCATGCCCTGGGCAGCTTCCACCCTTGTGAGAACAAACCCTCATGGCTTGGAGATGCTCACCTGCCTTTCAGGCCTCCCCACTAGACACCTTGCCCACTCTCAGTCAACCCTCTCAGGTTCCAGGAGCCTGACCACATGACCCCAGCTCTCCTGTCCTTGTTCCTCAGCAGCCCTCAAGAGGCCACCTGATACTCCTGGTTCAGTGTACACCGGGATTGTGTCCTGGCTTCAGGGTCAGACTTTTGGAATGCTAAGTAGATCACACGGTCCCTCAACAGACAGACCCATGGCTCTATGGGACACCAGCTCAGATACCAAGTTCTGAAGCAAAGTAAGATAGCCAGAGGTCAAGGCAGTCCTCACCACCACAGGATAGGTGCCAGTGGGCATCCAAGGTCATTCCCCTTTGTCAAAGCCCTGGCCATAAACAGTCTAAAACCTGTCTCTGGGAACTTGCCATCCCCATGTGGAAAGGTCACTACTCCCCGTCCTGAAGCTGAGCCTGTGGGTTTCTTCCCCAGGATCTCATTGCACTCCTTCCCCTACTCCCCTGCTACTTGCCTTCTTCAGAACCACAAACTCATTCTCGGCTGTGGCTCTCAGAGAAACTTCCTCCTCGTACCTGAGATGGGAGAAAGGGAGGTCAAGGCAGGGCAGGTCTCCCTGGGATTCCATCTTTTAAGCCAGTGGAAAGGTGATTGAGGAAGTGCCCACAGCTAGGGCTCTGCAGTCCTGCCATGTCCTTTCTGGTCGTAGTGGGACTAGGGCTGGGCTTCTCTGTCTACTTTGAGTTGGGAGATGGAGAGGACTCATCTGACCTCCCAATTTCATTGCCAAGGCTCTCTGTGTTCATCTCAGGATGTAAAGGAGGACTCTGCCTGTTCCCATGGTGGGAGGAGACATTGTGGTGTCCGGGTATTGCAGCCACCCTCACCCTGTGCCAGTCCTCGATCAGGTGTGGGAGACCTAGAGCCCTCAGGACTAAGAACCCAAAGTGGTGGGACTCCCAGAATCTGGCCCTATACTTTGTGAGCCCTTGGGCTGAATTTGATGAGGGGCTACATGTGCAGGACATTGAGAGCATGGGAAAGTAGAGGTCCACAGGGCTTTTTCCCAAGAAAGCAGAGAGGGGCAGCTGCTCAGTGGGACAGAGACCACTCCTGAGGCTATCAAGTTTCTACAGGCAAGTGTCTGGATGAGCACATAGCTCCCTTGGCCTGGCTGGGGCCATGCATCCTCCCTGGACTCTCATTGCCTATGCCACAAGCTTTAACCTAAGCCATCTGCTGTGCAGAACAACACATGGGCCACACTCACTTCTTCTTGTAGCCCTCCAGCACCTCTTGCACGTGGTTGAGCTCTGAGGCCAGCCTTCCGCTGTCAGCCTCCACACACTCAGCCTCCCGCCTCAGTGTCTCAATGTAGCCCTCAAACAGTGGCTCCAGGTTGCTCTCGCAGCACTTGCGGTTCTGGTAGAACTGCCACTTGGTCTCCAGCAGCTTGTTCTGCTGCTCCAGGAAGCGCACCTGCCAATCAGGAAGGGGAGGAGGGGACAGGAGCCAGCTGAGTTGGGGGTTGCTGGAGGCAGATGCCCTCCCTGAGCTCAGCAGAGACCAGGCAGAGGTGGGCCTTGGGGAATGGGGCAACTTTTCCCCTACCTGATCCTAACCTGTGCCTGGGTTTCCCATTTGAGGGTGGGAGCAAGGGCTGGCAGAAATCAGTGCCTGCTCAAGGAGGAACTGAGTCCCCACTGTGTGAGTTCAGGAGCCCTGTGTCAGGTGGATGCAGGCTCTATCCTTTGAAGCCAGTGAGGCAGGAGCCCTCACAGGCAGGGCACCCAGATTCCCATCCTAGAATGTGGGATAGTGATGTGGATAGTGTCACAGACCATGGGGGAGGGGACAGTTAGCCTGACCTCTCCTCTTTCCCTGCTATTCAGGCAATCCACCCTCTCAAAAGGAACTCAGCTTCAGCATGGGGCTGCTCAGACTTCCCAGCTCAGCAGAGAAGCTGCCTTCCCCTGGAATTTCTGGAGTCTAGCTGGTGCCCAGAGAAGTTTGGCCATCAGTTTTTCCCCACATGCTCTGCCTCTGAACTGTTGTTGAGTCTTCTGAATCTTGGGCCTCTGTGTTCCTGTTTGTGCACATCTCTCCTAGAGACTAGGGTGTTAGTCAAGCAGAGGTCTTTTGGCCCCTTACTCCCTCCCGTGTACTGTCCAGCCTTGGCTGTGCTTCTAGGTAGAGGGGCCAGAAAGGAAGGGCATGATCCAGGACAGAGCACTCAGATTACCATCCCATATGGTGTTAAGGGATGGAAACCAAGGAGAGACCACAGGCCGTTTGGGAGGAGCTCAGCTAGCCTGGCCTTTCCCCACTCCATCTGCTCTTCAGGCAACCTGCCCCCTCTGATGGAGATCAGCCTCAGCCTAGGCTGCCCAGACCTCCCAGAAGTCAGGAGCAACAGCTGAATTCCCCTGGGATGCCTGCCCAGCCTTGGCTGTGCCTCTAGGTAGAGGGGCCCAGGAAGGAAGGGCATGATCCAGGACACCCACCTTGTCGATGAAGGCAGCAAACCTGCTGTTGAGGCACTTGATCTGCTCCTTCTCCTCGTGCTTCACGCACTGCGCATTGGCGTCGATCTCCAGGTTGAGGGGCGTGAGCAGACTCTCGTTGACCGACACGGTGGTGATGCAGGGTGGGGTGGGTCCGCACACACCGCCGGAGCGGTACCCGAAGCTGCGCCCGCAGGAGCCAGCGCGGAAGGCCCCGCAGACGCTGCGGCTGCCGAAGCCTCCAGGGAGGCCGCGGTAGCAGGAGATGCCGCGGTAGGGGGCGGCGGTGATGCAGCAGCGGCCGGGCTGGGGCCCGCAGGCCGAGGCGCAGCTGAAGACGCGGCCTCCAAATCCTGATCCACAGGTCATGGTGCTTCTGAAAGTGTGTATTACGCAGTACAGGACGGGAGATCTGGAGTTTGGTGAAAACCCCAATGTGCTGCCTAGGATTCCCCAGTCCTATTTATGCTCCAATTCGGTAGGGGCCGGCCATAGAGGTGGGTTGGGACAATTGAGCTTTATGGGCTTGGGCGGTTAGCCCTGTCCAAAGCTTCTCCAACATGCCCTTTAATGGCGGAGTAGCCCGCGCCCTCCTCTTTGTAAAGCATGCCAGCCCCTGGGCCCTGGGGACTCAGCAGGTTTCATCTTCAAAGTGCCTGGAGGCAGGGCATGCAGTGTCCATGGCAGGAGGGGAGGGATTAATGGCCCCAGGAGAGGGGGCTGGGGCCTTGAGTGTGACATAGGGGGGTTGGGGGAGTGGGGAGCCAGGAAAGATGGCGGTTTTAACACATAGTATCTGGATCCTTCCATTCCACAGTGATTGAGCTGCCTCTAAAGGACAGATCCGGCTTCCCTAGCTGCAGACTAAAAAGGCTGTTGAAAATCACCTGTTTTGCTTACTCTGGCAGCACCCAGCAGTTGACTAAATATTTGTCTCTCTGCCCTTCCAACTTTTCCTAGGAGGGTTTTCAAACAAAGAAAAGTTGAAATAATATTACAAACACCAGTAGATGCTTTACTTAGACACCTAGAGCCAACAGTAGTTAACAGGATGTCACATTTGCCCAACTATTCACCAGTTTTAAAAAGCATGGTCTGTAATCCTCAAATACTTCAGCATGCATTATTACTATTATTTTTTTCCCCTTCTCTTCTGTTTCTTTTTGTTGCTCGGATCAAACCCAGGGCATTGAGCATACTAGGCTAACCCTCCACCACTGAGTTATTCCCCACCTCCAGTATAAAATTCTCTTTCTCTTTCTCTTTTTGGTGGCACTGGGGTTTGAATTTTGGGCCTCACGCGTGCTAGGCAGGTGCTCATACTGCTTGAACCACTCTAACAGCCCTACATTTCTTAAAAATAAAGACTACCATTTTCACATGCCAGAAAATGAACAGTAACTCAATCTTCCCAAATGCCCTGAGACTTCTTAAAAAATAGATTTTATCTGATTTATCCTGTGACTCGTTCCCTTATATTTTCTGTAAAATGGAAGTTAGATCTTGAGCTGGACTGTCAGTCTGGTAGGTAATAGGTATGTGTGGGTATTCAAGATTAAGCCAGTTAACATTCAAGAAACAAAAACTCTTGCACTATCTGCAGTTAAGCTTTCAATAGCTACCCATGACTAGTGCCTGTTTAACTGGATAGTGCAGATGAAGAACATTTCCATTATTCCTGAAATGCTTTTGGGCTAGAGGCTTGACTATTTTCAAATTAAATATTTTGGGGCATAATGTCTCATAAGAGATGCTGTATACTAGGTGTGGTGGCACATGTCTTTAATCACAGCTACTCTCAAGGTGGAGGTAGGAGGCTGGCCTGAGGAAAAGCACAAAACCCTATCTGAAAAACAAACTAAAAGCAACAAGAATGGGGGTGTGGTTCAAGGGGTAGAGTGCTTGCTTAGCAAGCATGAAGCTCTGAGTTCAATCCCCAGTATTGCCAATAAACAAACAAACAAACAAACAAACAAAACAGAGTTGCTGCGTAACTCTTGTATCAGACCAAGAAACACAAAATGTGGGGCTGGTGATGCTAAATTGGATCACAAAGTGATCAGCACTTTGGAGGAGAGGCAGGAGGATCACGGATTGCAGATCAACCTGGGCTACATAGTGAGACCTTATCTCAAAAAAACCAAAAAAAGTATGTTTTCTCTCTATACTTAGAGAGAACTGTATAGGGAAACATACATCATATTTTGGTAAGGGAGTAGTTTCTTTTTATTGGTTGCCTACTATGTGATCATCACTGTAAGTCATAAATGATCTTAAGTTTCCATCATCTATATGAAGTATGTATCATTATTCCAGTTTTACAGATGGAGGCTCAGAGAGGTTAAAAAAGTTGTCCAAAGTCTCCCTGTTGGTAGTGGTGGAGGTAGGAGGTACTGAGCTTTCTCCCCTACAAGCTATGAGGAACCCTGTGTTTCTGGATGCCCAAAACAGTTCAGAAGAGTAGGAAAGGTGGTTAGGAGGGGATTCCTGTGGACTCTGGGGGAGAGGCAGGTGAAGGAGGTAAGGCTCCTTGGATGGTTGGAATAGGAGGGCTGTGGGATGTGTAGGGCATAGGTTGTGGAAGCTGTGCTAAGGCTGGGGAGAAATCTGGGTGGATTTGCAGGACCAGGAGGGGGACAGTGTCAACTTTAGCTATGTATCCCATTGGCATACTGCAATTATTTGACAGATTATATTATGTCCTCCTTACCCACGGGCTGCTCCTACTCCAATAGAACAGGTCCTAGAAAAACAATTTTGTAAGGTACAGACATTTGTATTAAACTGAAAGGAAAGGCAGTGACAGGACATGGCTCCCAGTCCCCTGGGCCAAAGCAGCAGAGCCTAGGAGGAGCATGGGGTTGGGGTTGGTAGGAGAAGGGCAGAGGGGAGGAAACCAGAGGGCAGGGCTCAGTGTGTCTGTGTAAAACATTTAGTTTGTGACAGGACAGACATGTGGTTGCAGACTGTCACTCCAGAGGAGGATGTGGCACCTGCTGTCACTTTATGGGCTCGGGATAGCTGGACCAGCATTTTCAAAGCCCTTTGTACCCTCACCAGCAAACCAGCTGGCTGGGTGTTCTGCAGGGGCGCTGAGTCAAAGTGGCTCTTACATACTTTGTCTTTCCAACTGATGGAACTCCTAATAAAAATGCCACGCACAAACACCAGCTAATTATTAATGGCTGGTCCTTGCTAAGCAATTTTCAAGATGCAAGAAGCAATTTGAAACAAGATATAAGGAAACTCAAATGTGACACCACTTCATTAAGCTTCAGGAATTATTAATTGCTGCTAATTTATGAAGACCTGAAAGGACATTCAGCTTGTTTTCTTTGAAAAAGCTTGTGGTGGGGGAGGGGAGAGAAGGAAGGAGGGTGAGAGAGGGTTGGCAGAATTACCACTCTATCTTCTGGTCTTGGCTCTGGCAGTGTAAAGTTAATCCAGTTTAACTTTGTGAAGTTAAAATATTAAAATTACTTTTGTTGTGAAATATCACACACAGAGTGTTTAGGAGGTACACCTTACCCCATGGGAAGAAATAGAACACATATGTATGTACTACACTTCATTTTGATTATATCTTCCTTCCCACCTGGGATGACCTATCTCCTGGATTTTGTGTTTAATTATCCCTTATTTTTCTTTAAAGTTTTCTAACCAATGATACATTGTCCAGTGTTAGAGCCTCTTGTACGTGGAATCATATTGTATGCATTCTTTCCTGTCTGGTGTGTTTTGTTTTGTGTTGCTTCCTGTGACTGTCCTATGTCATTTTCACTGTAAAGTGCATTGGAATAGACCAAAGTTTGTTCACCTTTCTACCCTGAGGGGCTCGTGTTTCCAGAGTTCTGAGTATGAACAGAACTGCCAAGTCTTCTGGTGCATCTGAGCAAGAGATTTCCTAGGGTGTATGTTTGTTATTTTTTGAAGTTATGCAGGTATTTTGTTAATTTGGAAAAGTATTTTATGAATCTTTTTTTTTTTGTCATGTTGGGGCTTGAACCCAGGGCCCCGAACATGCTAGGCAAATGCTCTGCCAACTGAGCTCCACCTCAACCCTAAGAATCTCTCTTGATGTTCATCTTACTTTGTACTAGATACTATTCTGAGAACTGAATATGCATTAACTCATGTAACTGAGACTGGTGTTCTCAGATACTGAGGCCTGAGGAGGTTAAGAGACTTGCATAGGGTGAGAGTTAAAGACAGAGCTGACATCAGAGCCTGGTGGGTTTGATCCCAACAGAAGGGACAAGTTTGTCTCCTTGCCACTCCCATCTGTGTCCATCTGTCATCCATAAGGCAGCACACATAGATGGTATTGGTATGTAACATACAACATGCACACTCATTTCTCCGCCCTCTTCAAGGCCTGCAGGGTGCTCTAGGGTTCAAAGCCAGAAGATAGAGGAGAATTCATTATTGTTCTTGGTGGCCTTCCAGTTTTCAGAGGAACAGGGAGCTGGACATGTACTCAGAACATGAACAGAAATGCAAACCCTGCAATGTGTCAACATGTACAAATGTTTTATTTGTGGACATGTTCCAAGGGCTGGGCACATAGTAGGTACACTATAAATGGATGAATAAAATTAATGCCAGCTGCATATTAAATGCTGAGTAATGGAGTCATCAAAGCTTGGTGGCTAATTGTGCAAAGCTTTGTGGTAGAATAGGGTGGGGACCAAATGAAGCAGACCAGAGAGTGGCCATTCCTGGGGGCAGGACTCGTTGCTGGGGCCTGAAGGAGGAAGGAAGTAAAGGAGATGTTTCCTTGACCAAAGGGAGCATGTCAGTGAAGAATCCTAAAGACCTCAGGGCAGAGTAGAGATGCGGATGCATGCACCAGGTTGGGGAAGGAAGGAGAGGCATGGATGAGAGGGAATTTCTAGGGAAAGGGGAGGAGAATGAGATGCTTGGCTTTTACTACTCTCAAGCTTCACTTGGAAGGAGAGAAGGAGGCTGGATAAGGGTGTGGCTGGGAAGAATGAGAGGGAAAGATGACAGGGGAGATAGTCTGAAGAGGAGAGAAGTGGAGAAAAACGGGGGAAGACCCAAGGGAGAATGGTGGTGGCAGGGACTCTCCAGGAATGAAGGAGCAGAGGAGGAGAGGTTGATGGGGGAAGAGGCACAGCATTGAGGGCAAGGTGCAGACCAACCTGAAGAGGTGGATGACCTCAGTCCACGTTATAGGAATGAATTTTAACAGGCAGGGACAAGGGCTGGGGCAGGTACAGGAGGAGCTCAGCCTGGCTTTGGGATGGAGCTCAGCAGGAGAGTTTCTGAATCAGATCCCAGTTCTGCCCAGACTTCCCACAGAGCCATTGGTCCCTTTGCCCAAGGATGCCCCTACTCCAGTGAGTTCTGATGGAGAGTTA